ACAGTCTTGCTGCTACTTCCCGAGTGTTCTGCAGTTGTTGGAGGAAGGGGACGTGTTAGGGAAATTTTGGAAATATTCCTGTCTCTGGGAGCGTCTGTCTCTGCCTCTTGGACCCATCAAATGATAGGGCAGATAGAGCCTGATAATGTCTTATCTTCTGGTGCAGGAGTAATCTTTAACTGCTGGTAAAGATCCTACGTGTGACATCATGGTACAAGTCCCCAGTGCCATTTTGACAGAGAATAAGCTTAGTTTTAGGGCGTTGTGGTTGTGTAGACCTTCAGGAGCAGGAATAACTGCTTTATTTTTGTGTGGGGAGGAGGCTTGAAAGAAATATTTTCCAGTTAACACGTCAACACTGAATCCCTTTTGATAGAGACTTAGAAATGTAGCTTTAATTCAGGGCCACTTTGCTGGGATAATCCAATATATCTGCCTTCCTCATTCAAACTTAATATTTCTGAGGACTTCTTTAGACAATAAAATTGAAAGGGAACACAAGAAATGATTAAAAACTTCTTTTAAAAAGAGTGTAAGGGAAGTCACTAGACTGATTCAGCAGCTTTAGTACCTTTAAGACTACTGCAGAGCTATTGTATTGTCTGTTACAGCATTTCTTTCCTGAAAAATAAGAAACAATGAACTGTATTGCACATGTTTAGAGCAAGAACTGGAAGAGTTAATGGTGAATAATATATAGATCTGGCAGCAGAAATACGTATACATGTATCGTAATATGCCCATGTTTTGGCAACTTAACTTGAGAAAAATGATGATACAAGAACTCTGGCTTGTCACTCTGCTGCATAGTTGTGCCACCAGGCATGCACCTTGACCAAAATGAAACAGTTCTGCAGGACTGGTGATCACAAAAACACCCAGAAAATGCTGACCGTCTTGAATCCTAACGTTTCTTTTTAAGCTTGTTTCGTAGTTTTTTTCCCCGTCCCTTTAAATTTCAAGGTCCACACAACACTCACTTCCCTTCCTCCCCCACAACTGCAAGAGCTAGGAATTTAAGGCCTGAATGAGCTGAAATTTTCATGCCGTCAGTTAACTGCAGCAGCAAGAAGTTAAACTGTCACAAGACCAGGTATGGAGCTAGGATTGTTTTAAGATGAGTAGTATTTAATTTAGCAGTAAGCACTTCTTAGTTAAATATTAATGGTTTACTTTATTAATCCTCAAGGGTGCTTTCCAAGTAAGTAGGACAGATGCAAAACTTCCCGCGCTGTATCATTAACGATCTAATTTTAAGCATGAAAACAAAAGGAAGGCTTACAAGCATTATGAAGAAAGGTGATCATGTGATTGTCCAGTCCCACAGCTGTAGTTGCCTGCATGATTATTTTTATTCTGTATGCACGTGTAAGTTGAAAGGTACAGTCTATGAGATATGGGCTTCTATCAGATACAGCACTTAACTGAAGTAGCAGAATAAATACGGGTGTAAGTGAAGATGCGTGGCTGGCAAAGGAGTTGGTTCTCCATCTCTGCCAAGGGAAGGAAAAAAAGTAGCCGCCAGGCTTATAAGCTAATGTGTCATATACCCAGTGCATCTCTCTAGTGGGTTGGTGGGAGCTGGGGAGGGCCCTCCGGTCCTGAGGAGGTGCAGGCTGATCTTAGAGGTCTCTTAATATTGTAACAGCCCGACTTGCATAATTATGTGATTGTAGTTCCGCCTTGGCTGGGATGGGAAGTTAAGCAGCAGGTGTTAGTTTGGGTTCCCATTCAGAAATGAGTGACACTTTTTCTTAAAGGACTAATGCATCCAGTTGCTTACTTTTAGAAAATTGACCAGCTAACATCGTGAACGGCACGCATTGGCATGCTGGCTTCCACTCCTCTGTCACTGTGCGTGCCATTGGAAGCTTTTTAGAAAGCAGAGGGAATTGAATAGTTGAGTTCCAGCTTTGTCCTTTGTGTTTTGTTAACCCCGATTGACCTTGACCTATGGGCACCATGACCTCTGTCATTTAGGTTGGTGAGCTTGAATCGAGATGCAGGGTCTTGTGTTGTGATAAGTAAGCGGAATGAGAGTGCCATTTTACATCTGAACCGTGTCTTTCCAGTTGCCTATTTTCTTGCATCTCTGATTATGGGAGTCTTCTAGTGCATTATTTGCATCAAATGTGTTTGTTTTTCTTCAATTTACTTTCTATACTTTCTTTACTTTTTTACTCTTTGATTTTAAGAAGAGGAAGGGAGAGATGGAAAATGCTGTCACTGTTAAAAATACACTCAATTTCTTTGGTAAACAAGGCAATGGTTCTATTTACTAAACCAGGTTCACTTAAAAAAAAAAAAAAAAAAAAGAAAGAAAAAAAAAGTCTGTCTTCATTACAGAACTCTCTCTTCAAAGACCTGAATGAAGCCAGGCACTGGGGGATGGGATGGTGAGAAGACACTTGTATAATTAAAGACCATTTTGTCTTCCTAAATGCTGAGTTAGATACGCCCTTAATGATGCTACATTCTCATGAGTATTCTAGGCAGAATGTCCTACATAAGATACTGAAAGTTGTTATGGATTCCTTATGATCTTATTGGAAGAACCATGTTGATTTATGTTGCTTTTGCTAATTTTTTGCGGGCTCTAGCAATACTTTTGTAAATACAGGGCAAGCAGCAGATTTCTTTTTTCTATTGGTGAATAATACTGTTACGCGGTATCTTTGTTCTTATATGCCCCTGTATGTGTAGCTTTGCCTTATCTTTGTTGCACAACTTGGTCTGACTTCTCAGCAAGGCTCTCTCTGTTGATGGAGATTTATTAATTGGCATTGAAGTCAACAAAATTGGTGATTGTTAATTTAATGACTTTTTCTGAGGAGTTGGTTCATTAAATGCTGTTGATTTAACTGATGTTTGCAATGATTGAATTAGGAGGTAAAATGTAAACAGTTGATTTCCACTTTAGTGGTATATTTTAGTAAGCATTTGCAAAGCAGGAGGTAATGCCTACAATGAAATGGAGGGAAAAAAATACAAAACACAAAGAGCACTGTATCTTTTTCAAGTAAATGAGCCAGTTATGACACTTGGCTAAACCCAAGGGGTGATTTTCGTTTTTGGTAACTTTCTTGTATTTTTAGGCATAGATTTTGACAAAATTATTGTGAAAAGTAATGGTTTGCTCCAGAAGTTGAGAATGACTTTCAAAAAACTGCAGCTTATCGAGAAGAGTCAGAAGAGTTGGAGCTGTAAGGAAGGCAGTGTTACTTCCCAGTGAGCGATAAAAGGTTGAAATTGCAATAGCTGCCTCCTGTGGGTTACTCCATTCAGAAGAGAGCAGGATAGCCTGGAGGATATACTTTTAAGATTGATAGATTATAGCTTGCTCATTGCGTGGCTTTGTTACTTGTAGATGCTTTCATAAAACCCAATCCCTGACCCTACAATTAAATCTCTGTGAAGGATATAGAAATAAATAAATAAAATAAGGAAGTGGTTGGCTTGTTGCACTCAACTCATTGTGACAAATGGCTCACTGTTAGGTATTTCTTCAGGCTGGAATCTGTGTGAGCAGCAGTAGTTTGCTTCTTAAGTTTTAATACCAAAATGTAGCTCTCTCTGTGGTTGTCTTCTGACCTTTACTACAGACTATGGTGCAGAGATGTTACTAGCATAAAGCTGTAAATCACTTAGTAAAACTGAAGGTATGAAATACAATCTGCCTTAACACTGTTTAATGCAGGCTTAAAATAACAGCAACTCTAAATATTCTAAAGGAAAAAAAAAAAAAAAAAACAACAAACACAAACACCATGGAATTAACAGCAACAACAAAAAAGAGTAAAGCCAAAGGCTTTGCTTTTGGAAGATGCAGCAGCAGTATGCTTGTGTGGATGTGGCTTGTTTCTGTTGAACAGCTATTTGTTACCCTCACTTTAAAATACATATACGTACAAGTAGGTGTTTATGTATTGTGTGTATTGAACCTGTCTACCCTTACCATGATAGGGGGAGAGGTGAAAATAATAGAGGGGTATGGCTCTCGTGTAAATTTCCACAGCAATTTGTGGCCAGAGTGTCTATTTTGGACTTTCAGAGGGTTAAACAACAACAGTTCATTCATAGATCCTGAAAAGGCAGCTCAGTCTGTTAAGATGTGAGCAATGCAGAACTTGCTTTTCCCCTGTCAAGCGTGGAGAAGCGTGAGCTTCTGGTATTTCTTTAGCTTTGTTTTACTAGTCTGTGCAATAAGGTGAAAACTCTATTTGAAAAACAAAACAAAAAACAAAACAAACACCTTTCTCTGCTGTTTCTCTAAAACGTAGCAAGTTCCTAAGTGCTTTCCACATATTGTGTCCTGATTTCTCTTCCTTGCTTTGCAATGAAAATAGCATTTTTCTGTCATTAAGCAATGAAGTCTGGCCTGTGTCCTGCCCACTCATCAAGTCCTGACACAAGAACGTTAGCTGACAGCTTCAGTGCAGCTTTAAAGGACCAAACCCAGACTTTAACAATATTCAGTGGTCCTTAAAAAGCCAGTAGCGATTTGTGGCAGATTCACTGGCGTCAGCCTATCTGCCTCCTGCAAAGCGCGCATGGTTGTTTAGCTGTGTAATTATGGAAACTGATGGTGGGTGGAGTAAGAAGGAAGAGAAGAACAGGTACCTGTAAAGGCTAACTTGTGACCCAGGAGGCTGGTTCCTTTATGTTACCAGTGGACACAATGGAGCTCCTACTCTGACTTGTCTGGAAGAGTCTGCATTTTTCCACCCTCTTCAGAGGAAACATAGAGTGAGCCTTTTTCATGTTTCTGTGTTACTATGCAGAATATGCACATATGTTAGGTGCAGAGCGGTGTTCAACTCCAGCTACTGGGACTTGGTGTGAGAAAACAGACTGGAACGATCCTGTCAGATTTGTGGTGATGGAGAATGGCTGTAATAGTGGTGACTTCCTTTCATATGTTGCCAAATGTAGATTTTTTTGTAGAAGTTCAGTTTAATATTGTAAGTCGGATTTAAATTTATCTTTTTTTCTTATTTCAGGTCTATCAGTCATGAAACGAATTCTTCTGTTTTTTATCCTGGCTGCTGCTGTTATGTATGGTATACTGCACGGAAATTTGTGGAGAAATAACCTCTACTGGTATGGCAACACTTTGTTTGCTTATACCTCCATGCCCATATGAAATATGTAGGTGTTAGTTACATGTTGCTGAATAGCTGTTTACTAGTGATCAATAGAAGGGATTACTACTGTGGATATATGTACTTCGTGGGTTTTTTGTTTTGTTCTTTGTGTGTGTGTGTACCATTATGGAATGCATGTGATTGTTCTGTCCCGTCACCCTTCCTCTTGTTTTGGTTTTAAGCCAATTTGAACATGTTTTTATGGAGAGGTCAGGACCTCAAAGATAGGAAGCCATTCTGAGTTCCATCAAAAGAGGTGCTCCAGCAAGAAGTGAGATCTTCTTCTGTGTCATGTCTCTGTGTTGTCCACCCCCTTGTGTGTTTAGTGCTAGCTGTTGCTTTAGGTGTCTGGTAAATGACATAGCAGAAACCTGCCTCCTGCATGGGAATATCTGCAGGTGGAGTGGGCTCCTTCTTGCAAAGCTGAAATTTGTTAAGTCCCGGAGGCAAAATTCTGGGAAGCAGGCCTCTGTTGTCTGCAGGGTATACAGGACAGGTGACTCGGGACCTAAAATTAAGAGTGCTTATTGCAGAAGTTAAGCTTCCATTGAGCTTTCAGTGTACAGTTGATATAAATGGTTCTCTGTTGTGGTTTCTTTGTATAGCAAACCTCAGTGTTACACCATTTCCCCTTTTTGCAGGATTAGCTTTTATGGACAAACTTCTGTGAGGGCTCCTTCTTCCAATGAGGCTAGTGGAGTTACCCAGTAAGTTCAGCAGTTGAGTGATTTTGTGTGCTCACTTTATTCTGTATTTGTGTTTTTTTGTGGGTGGGTGGGTGAGAGTAAAATCCATAGTCTTGGTTCAGCTGGTCATTGTACAGCTGTGTCTATGGAGTGTTTGTTGTGAACACAATTGTAACATGTCTGGTAGAAAGGAATTTGTCTGTCATATCTCCAGTGTTTGGTTAATATTTATGGCCACTCATCAGTGGAAAGCAATGAATTTCTGGAAGGATGTTTGTTTACATCCTCCAAATTCCTGGAATTTGGAGTTATATCTGAGTAAAATTAGAGCTATGAGGGCAATTTATGTACTTAATTTTAATAAATCAGAGGCGTGGTTCACTTATGTGATGTGCTAATGTTCGTACAAGCAGATCTTGTGTGCTAAATTGAGTTTGTGAGACTAATGAGGGCGTATGATGGAATGTGAAAGAAGGTCTTAATTCTCTCTGAAGCTGTCCTGCAAAATGCTGTCTGTGAGGTTGATTCTGGAAAGCAATGAGCTGACCAGCTGCTCCATTTCACAGGGTGCTTTCTCAGTGTCAGTATTCATGTGACGTCTTGAGGGTACTGAAAGCAATTAACCTTAATGGTCTGCTTGGCTTGTGGCTCTAATGTGGTGGTTTCATCCTTCTGTTCATAATGCAGCCCAGATGCAAGCTTTGCTCATGCTGATCTTTACCCTCCCTTCTGGGCTTCATATTTGTTCTTAAAGGAGCTAAAACACCAAGACAGGAACGTGCTTAGAAGTGTAAGCCTTGGCTTACTAGCCTCATTATGGGGGAATCACTTTTCCCAATATAATCTCATTTTCCTTGAAGTACTCCCTGTGGTGCAGTCTCTTCTCATCTCCCAAAAAAGACTCCCCTCTCCTCTCTGAGGAGTGCTAGTGCATCTATCTCAAATGGCTGCAAGGGTGACGCAGCTGAGGTGTCCTGCTTCTCTGCAGGTGGGTCTGAGATCGAACTTCTGGTTATGGCTGCTCTAATAGCTGCCTAGTGAGGGAGGAGCACTGTAAAATAAAAGCCTTAAAAAAAAAAAATCATACTGCAATCAGAAAGACCCATCTTCATATTACAAACAGAAGCAATCATGAAAATTTGCCATGGTGTTATCTCAATCAACTTACTGTTTTGCTTGTCCAAGTTTATCTTGTTGCTGCTGCCGCTTCCTGTTCTTGCTATTTCTTTGAAATTCTCTTGCAGGCTGCTACCTACGGCTGTGGAGAGAAGGAACATGCTAGACACATGTCTCCTGAAACCAGCATTTGAATCTTTACTGGAGTGAGTATTCTGTGAGAAGGGGGAGGTAAGGTGGTGGTGATGTAAGTAGAAATATCGGTTATTTACATGTTCTAGACTATTTCACATTTTGATTCATCTCTGTAAGTACAAGCTTCTAGGTTTGTGTTCATTGTCGTTTTTCCTGATTGTGGCTACACAAGTTGTTTAGCTTGTCATTGTTCAGCATCTGAGTAATACGACACAACTAGCTCAATGTGCTGGTTTATGTACTGAATAAAAAAGTAATCCTGCATGCGTTGTAGCTAGTAACAGTGAAACTATTTTCTTGATTGAAATACAAGCCCTCATCCTTTTTTTTTTTTTTTTTTTTATTCCCATGCTTTTCTTGTAAAAGAAGCCTTCAGGTCCAGGACTGAAACTCAATTATTCTGCTATTAAGAGCATTGAATTAAAAGATTATTTTTTTTTTTGATAGCTAAGCACTTCTGTAGCAGCCAGAGGCCAGATAAATTTTGAAAGTCTCTTCGTTTTTTTCCAGAGAGAAGAGTATGAAATGTGCAAAAACTCATCCACACCCCCTCATTTTAAATGGATTCTTAATTTTAGTGGAATTAAATTTTATTGAAATTTGGGATTGTTTATGTGTTTGTTCCTTGGATAGGTGCTACTGAATTGAATGCTGGTGTCATCTGCTTTAAGATACTCAAGGAAAGTTTCCTTTGTTACGAAGCAGTCAGCTGAAAAGGAAGAGCTTCTACCCAAAACATAGGAGGTTTCTGGTCACAAAAGTTCATCTCAGATGTCTGTCAAGAAACACTGGGAGTTTTTGTTATTAGAATTATGTCTTAGAATGATCAAAGTAATGCTGCAGGAGCAGAAGCAGACAGGCTATATGGTTGGCTTTGTTTTATCTGAGTGAACATTAAGCATGGCCCTGAGAAAAGCTTGGGAAAATATTTAGATCAAGTCCTGGCTGAAGCAAAGAAATTATTGCTTTTACTTTTTTTAAAGTATTTTTCCTTTATAAGCAAACAGGACTTTGATTCAGTGCTGCTGTTATTTTAAAGAACGTGCAAGGATCTCAAGTTTCTCCTCCCCAGAGCCTTTGAGTCTTGGTTAGCTGCACATCTCAGAAAGGTGGACCTAGGTCCTATGCCCACAGAATGCCCAGGCTGTTTTGGTGTCAGGCACAGCAGGGTAGCTTTTTTCCTGAGCAAGGGGGCAGGGATGGACTCAGAGATGTACAGCAAGAAGAAGGTAGGTTCAGAGCTAGAACTGAGTCTCCTGGATATTTCCATAGGTCCTTTACTGGGATAGCTTATGTGAGCTGAATATCTGGTCTGTGCACTTTGGTAATAGCCTGCGGAGGTTGAAAGGATATCTGACCTGGCAGAATTATTTATTGGAAATGAACCAGAGCTAGAAGTGCCAGAATTAAGAATCCTTTTGCAATAGGTAAATTATTTATTAAGGCTAAGCTTACCAGCTGCTTCTGAACAGCGAGGCAAGTTGTTAATTTGAGAGTTTAGTGCATGATGTCTCAAAGTTAGCTGTTCTTGCTCAGTTAACCTATAGCCCAGTTCTTGGTGTGTGGCTTGTGTACCAGCTGAGCACATGGAACTTAAAGAATGAGACACTTGATTTGTAGGACTGTGAGAGGGCTGTGTGTGTGTTGACAGCTATTAATATTCTTAATGGAGCAACAAGTCATGTGCTGGCTGTGGGTATTTATGGTCAACACTCCAGGTTTTCTCCCTGTGACTGCATACTTCTGTGTTTACATCTTATTATAAGACCCAGTATGCAGGATTGCTGCAAAGTCAGCCAGTTCGATGAGTGCAAGTTGACCTAACCATGAGGTGAAACTGTGGGTATGGTAGCATGTGACAGGATTGGGGTTGACTGCTCTTTCAGGTGGCTTGATTTTTGACAGATATGGTAATAGAGTCCCTTCCCTGCTATGAAATAACCTTTGGCTGTGGCTACTGTTTTTAGAAGAAGTGACCTGTTGTTTCCATCTTGATGCATATAAGGTGTGACACACTCCTGTTCCAGTTTGTAGGAGGAATGTGCTTTTGAGGCAAACCTCCTCGTGATCTCCATGCGCTGGGCTTCTCATTGCAGAGCAGTCGTGGCACACTTGGACTGGGCTCCTTTCAGACAGTGCTGCACCACAAGATGCACTGCAGGAGCACGCCTGATGTGCTGCAGTTGATGGGGGTGTTCAGTCTGTAGGACCCTACTAGTATTAGTCCAAAGAAAAATACCTGAGACGTGTGCAACCTAGACGTGGGAACTCCATACCTTCTTGCTGAATAGTTCTACTCCTGTTGCCCCAAACTACTTGCTAATATCGACGTAGCCATAAAGTGCTACTTGTTTGGAATGGGGTCGCTTCTCATATTAGGTGAAATCTGCAGGAGATGGAATTTTTCAGTTAAAATACTTTGCTTCAAATCCCATTTCTACTTATTTAATTGCCTTATATATATATATATATTTTTTTTTTCCTAGCTGCCACTATTATTCCTTTTTTTTTTTTTTTTTCCCCTCAGTGTGATTATTTACTTTTCAAACCAGAAGTTGCCTGTTGTCTTACAAGGTTAAGTTTTCTATCAAATATGCTTTCTTATGATGCGAGCTTTTTCAGTGCATGCAATTTTAATGAATCTACATAACTTATACTAGCAAGGTCCTCTTATCTCACTCCCTGCCAGAATTTTCCATTATAATGTTTTCTCCTTTCCTGTCACCTGCTTTCTTTCCCTGTAATTAAGAGTTTCCTTCTTTTGAAACAGCCAAGTATTATCACTTTTAAGTAGGATAAGAGTCTTTTTAAAAGTGACTGTATGAATTATTGTCTTAATCAAATACACCATGTGGATGTGTTTAAAAAAAACTTTTTTTTTTTTTCCTCCTTCATTAGTGTTGACAAAATATACCCATTCCTGTGTGCCAACGATTTTATCAGAGCAGCAGAGTTCCATGGAAGTGATAAGTTTGAGCTACCTTATGGAATAAAGAGAGCAGGTATGTGTTCCCTAGGTACCTGTTTTTAAACAGAAATACCTAAATGTGATGGAAGGCTATCTCAATCTATGGGCCTGATGTTTCTTGTTCGCTGATGCCAATCCCTTTGGGTCACCTATCAGTCGATTATAGTTCTATTTCATGCCTCTTTCCTCACGGTTTCTGGCTCTTAAAAGAACCACTGCAGGGGGAGGGGAGTTCTCTCTCTTGGGAGCGAAGTTCCAAAAAGATGGAAAGAAGAGTAGAGTTTATTCAGTTTCCTTTCATTCGTATGTGGACTGGAGAACTAAAGATATTTAGCTCATGCGTTGTTCAGTGAGTGCAATGGATTTCAATCAACACACCTAAGTTGATCAGGGTTCAGCGTCTTACCGAGGCAAATATTCCCCAGCTTGGTGTGGTTACATCAGTAAAATTTCCCATTTACAGGATTGCCTCCCCTAGCTGGGGGGTGTTGCTGTGACTGCAGAGGGTAGTCCCACCATTTCATGGCTGCTGAACTCACGCGGTGTTTGCTAATGTCTGTTGGTAACGGGTAGAGTAGGTGGGGTCAGAGAGCCTAGGCCTTAGTTTTCCTTTTAGAAAGGGTTGTAAACTCTTGAGTGGCTTCCAGAGATTTTAATGATGAGCAGTGCACTGTTGTAGTATACCTGCAGATCTGAGCTTTAGCCTCTCACCTTGTCCTCCATCAGCGTAACAAGGATGGTGTGTTTTCCTGCACCTCTGGGGCACTGATGAGGGAAAAATGCATTTGGGAATGAGAGTTGTGTAGTCCTGCTCTGAGTAAGAGAGATGTGAGTGTCCAACAGGGGTGGGCTGGAGAGGTTCCTCTGCTCAGACTTGCCAGTGAGTACAGGCTGGTTTGATGTCTTCTCCCAAGATGCGTAATATGGTTCCTGTCCTTGGCTGGGTGGTCCCTTCTCTTGATACAATGCCGCATCTGTTCCTGTTGAAGATGGGTCAAATAAAAAACCAAAGCCAATTAGGATGCAGGTGTTGGAAACTCTTGCAATATGTACTTGTAACTATAATTTATTTTTTGAGGAAAATCTCATGCTGTTTTCCAACACGTGAGTGTGGAAGCAGGAAAAGCTTCCAAGAGAGGAGCTCTGATAAATTTGAATTTCCATGGCATCAGTGTTTGACCTGTGACTTTAAACTACAAGTGTTCTCAGTTTTGAGTTCATTTGAGTAGTGCATAAAAAATATTTTATCTGAAAAGGCTTTAGTTAGGGTGGCATACTTTTACTTTCATAGTGGAAAGCACTGACTGTTTTTATTAAAATCTTCTTTATATTTTCTTTCTAGAGCAATTTTTTCGTTTAGCTCTTTCAAGACTGCAAAACTGTGGACTGTCCAATGAAGATGACAGGTGAGATGGCTTATTTTCTAGTTTTTGTTCATTGCATTTTTAATGTTCAAGATTTATTTGTAAAGCAGTGTCAGTGACATTATCCTGAAATCACTCAAGTACCTAAGGTGCAGGTCAAGCCTACAGTGTCTGTGTAACTAATTTCAAGGTTTAAATAAGTTTGGCTTTAAACACTTGCAGCACCAACATTCAAGAATAATTTTTCTGTGAGGGAGCTTAAAATCCCTATTTTTTTTCTCGAACTGCATTAGGAATGTGCTGTCTGAACACAGTCCCAGCTTCCTACACCCTTAAAAATTGCACACAGTCTCTTTTGAAGTCATTACTAGTGTAAGTAGGTAACTTTCACCATTTCTGCATATCTCAAATATTTTCAGAAGATTGTAGACTGATAAAAGAAACCTTACCTGTGTATCCTCAACCTACTGCATCTTTTGTCCTGCTGCACACACTTACTCATATGTATGTTCAGTTTCCTTTTCCCATAAATGACTGTGTCCTGTTCCCAAGGGAGACTTACGCAGCCAGGAAAGATCTTTCCTGGCAGCTCTAGAGTAAGCAGGGTTTGGTTCAGCATGGAGCATGCCATAGATAACTTGCTTTCCATGCATTAGGTCGTCTTGTTTATATCTTAGTTAGAAGCAATTTCTGCCAAGATTTTTTGTTTGTTGATATTTTAGAGGTGGTCTTTTTGTGTATGTGTGTTTTTCTCTAGTTCCTTTTTGTTTGCTTTGTTTTTTGACTTAGGGTAGTGTGGTTGGCAGAGGTACTAAAATCATGTGTTTACCAAGTGACGCAAATGATTTCTTTGCAGTCAAGCAAATGGGCAGAGAACCTAGTTAATGTACGGAATACTTAATAAAGTAGGATGCAAATAATACTGAGGTTGACTGTCCTTTTTTTTTTTTTTAAATCGAGATCAAACAGAAGATTGTTGCTCCAAGTCAAACTGAAAGGATCACATTTTAATCTAGGTGCAATATGAACAAAATTGGTTTTCAAACATAAGAATTATCTCTTTTTTTTTTTTAATATTCAGTTTTCTCTTTCTTCATCTATGGTACTCCTTCTTTTCCTTGTGTTTAATATCTAATTCCAGGATGTTCAGAAGGAGGAGAGAAGGAAAAAATTAATAATAAAAAAAAAAAGCAACCCAATACCCACCCTCTATCAGGAGTAGCATAACTGAGGAAACTTACACAAAAGTGGTTGAGAAAGGCTAGGCTTTTGTCTGGAGTTTGAAGGAGAATGTCAAAGGTTATATTAGAAATTTACTGAAATGACAAGTTCACTAATAATTTTGTCTGTAAAGAACCTCATAGTACAGCATAGCATATCCTAAATATATCCTAACATATCCTAAGTATATCCTAATAAGCGTCTCTTCTGTATCTTGAAAGTAAAGGGATGCTTTGAATGTAGATTCTCCTCTTGAGATAGAAGCATGTTTAGTGGTTCTGGGAAGTATGATTCTTTTAATAAAAGTAGTACCAAAGCTAAGTGAGAACTACTACTACTTAATAAGCAGTAGCGTAAATGAACTGAACATACAATGACTTCATACAATTTGTTCTTTCTTAATTATTTGTTTCTTCTGCATAGCACTAATAGGGCATGAATCACTGTAGTGGGGAAGAGCTTTTAAATATACTTTTAGCCAATATACAATGGCTTTTAAATATGAAACATTTGGGGAATTTATCTTAACGACATTCTCCAGTAATACAGTAACAGAATTATTAGGCAGTTGTGTATTGCTGTCACCTACCACTGCCTCCTTGGCAGAATGCAAACTGAATTTCCCTGTAAACTTTTGTTGGCAAGGTAAACCTACTTTAAAGTATTTTAACAAACGGTAGGCAATATGAGCATCAAGTTCATATACATGAGCTGTATTTCCATGCAATATTGATAAAACTGTATACAGTGAGATACAAAAGACTTTTTTTTTTTTTTTTCCGGAGTAGTGCAATTTTTAAAGTTTAGATTGAATTCTCACTCTGTAAAGGTTTTGTTTTGCAAAACTGTTCAGAAGGGAACAGTGTCACTGACTTCTCTGGAATAGCCTGTAGGGAGAAGGATTTTCCAGGCTAGGGGTATATCCATAGAATAGCCTCCAGACACCCGCTCCACCCATTTCCTTATGAGTGGTGGGCACTTTCGGGATTTCAAGCTTATCAGTGGTAAATTCTTACGAATATGCTTACACAATACTAAGACAACAATATATGACCTCTGCATCCTCCTTTTACCAAATAACCTCAAAGGAAATAATTTGCATTCCTCAACAGGCTACTGGGGGTATGGGCTAAAGCAGCTGAGGTCAAGATGCTTTTGTTTTTCCCCCCCCAGAGGAATGCAGATGATGCAATCTTCTTGCCCTTTAAAGGCTACATTTCAGCTTAACAATTTTTTTTTTTCTATGTGACTAGGAAAATGTTTCTGTTAGCATTTCACCATATAAACAAAATTATGCAAACCAATGTCTAACCTTTAAATTAAGAGGCCCTTGTACACTATATGAATAGGGAAATGGTTTGAGTGACTAAGGGATTTCCTTTAGGTGTTGGAGATCAGTTACCATGTGATTTTTGCATCCATGTAGATTTCCAACATCTAAATGTAATCTCATAGTCACCTGAACCACTCCTATGACTGTTGTTATATCCCAGGTCTTAATCTTTTTGCCTTTCTTAAATACTGTGCTGGAGATTGCAAACTGGACCTCCAGCCATCTCAGTCCATCATATTTCATGTATAGCGTACCTGATGTCATTTAAGGACATCTGAATTCACTTCTTTTCATGTTGATTTATCAATGTGAAGAAAAGAAGCATTTTTTTTAACATGAAAAAGGAAACTAGGAAAAAGGGGCTGGTAAAATATCTGGGAATAACAGTTTGCTTAAAATCAGTAGCTCACTTCTGTGGTCTGTGGTAAGTACAGGTCAGTTTAAGTATCTTTGAATGCAATCCAGCCTTGCTACGTATTCTTTACCTCCATTTCATAACTCAGGTTTCCTGTGAAGTTGTTTTCTGTTTGCATTGGTGTTACACCCAATGCACACATGCAAGTGTTATCTAGTCTCTAGAATAAACCATTTCCTTTTGTGCTTATCAATGCAATCTATGGTACTGTGGACGTAGACCTGTTATCATAACTGGAGACTCCAGCACTGGAGGGAGGGTGCTGAGGGGAGAAGATGATTCAGAAATGGCACATTCACACCAAACTTCCTGTTTGAGTTGGCCTTCTTTAACTTTCAGGGCCTGACAGAGCATAAAAGCTGATCTTTCAAGTGTGTTTGTCTGTTTCTGACTGTACAATGACATGTACACTTCATCATAAGTATTTGATGTGCTTGTTGACTTTGATACCCATTTCAGTAGTTCGCATACTAGTGTTAGATGCTTTATTGGTTATTTGAAGGCAGCTGATAACATTTTTTCAGTACACGTTATTAAGATTACTGGAATCTTAAAGCTTTCTCACGCTTCAAATTCTGGTCTGCTTTTCTGTTTATGTAGTACTAGACACTGTTAAAAAGCCATGCACAAGATCTGGTCTGCATCTCTCAGTAAGAGGGAGTGAGTGGATTTGACTTGAGAGCAGCTACTGAGCTTCTATAGCTGCGTGAACCTCAGTTGCCCAGCTCTAAATTCACATTTAATTTTACTTCCTTGCCCTGGGTGTTCTGCCATATCACAATTGCAAAAGGGAGAAACTGAAGAACTTCTCAGTTTTACACCAGAGTCGAAGGTGTTATTTCAATAGCTAGGGGTGGACATGGTGAGTTCCAGTTGTCACTTCAATTCCAATCATCACTTCAGCCAAAATGGAAGGATATGTAGTCTAAGGAATCACTTAAAATTCAGCTACAAGGGACAGAACTAGCAGTGTAGCCTCAAGTAACTTCTTGGCTGCTTATCATGATCAGAATAATAGAAATCACTTGTTTAGTATTGGTGTTGTGGTGATGAGGTTTGTACCTCACAGTTACCCAGCTGTGGTCCAGATGACTGAAACTCAGTGATTTAGAGGCGTGCTGTAAATGACAGGAAAGTGTGATGTGCTTTCTCACTTTTCCTTTGTTCTGCCTTCATCACTTCCTGATGTTTTTTTGTCTGTTTATTTTTTTGTTTCCTTCCTGTTTCCTTCTCTACTGCTGTTTCTCCATGGCCCAGGGTCTTGCTTTGAGCTCTGTGGTACAGTTGCAAGTAAAAAGGTGTAATTCAGAAGAAGGGTAACTTCTATTCCCATCCTCCCACTGTATGCATTGCAAAAGTTCACCTGCAATCATTGCATGTTCATCTGTATGCTTTCTCAGGATGTCTTAAAGCTAGATTGAAAAAAATATTTGGAAATGTACGGGCTGGAGTAATCTAGGAATAGAGGGAATGGTTTTGTAGTGGTAGAGGGAATGGGCATACTGAGGACAAGATGGTGCAGCAGGTTTTGCCCCTCTGATTTTTGGAGGTACCAAGTCACATGGAATTGTGGCATTAGTTAGAAATCTTTTTCTTTTGTGAACACCTGGCATCTTCTAAGATTTTTAGGAAACACAAGAGAAAGGTGTGCCAGCTTTTTCCATGTCACTCAACCTTCAGAGATGTGTTTAGCTGTTCTAGATTTTGTTGGATGTGTATATTGATTTAGAGATACTTAACAGGCTGGTCAAAGATATATATATACACACACATACATATGTATGTATGTATATATATGAAATGTATAGTGTGCGTATATATACACTTTTAAATAAATAAAGGCAACTCCCTCTGCAGATGTGGTCTTAGAGCAGCAGGTGAAAAGCTGCCATCTCAACATTTCTTTTGAAACATGGTTATTTTAATACTTGGCATTTATTTTCATTTAAGCTTTTCTATAAGCTTCAGGTTTTCAGCACTGGTTTTGGTCACAGTTTCTTTTCCCCTAGCTCATACACAGTGCAGCATAACTGTGTTAACAATTTTGTAGAAACTTCTTCATACAATGAGATGCCAGTGTTCATTGTTGTTGTTCACTGATGTTGAGTAATATCCTTCTCAACTGAAAAAATGAGTTGGACTGTCTGTGGAGTAAGATGTTAACTAGTCTGCATAAAGTGCTACAAGGGGCATTTAATAGTGGTTAAAGTATTCTTTATGACTTCGTATTGTGGTCCCTTGCAGTAAGAAATGGTACAGAGCCTTTTTCTTGTTTGAAGAACTGTGTGGGTTTACATATAGCATGCAAGGCCACAAAACTTCTGTAAAGAGGCAATGCTCCCTGAGAAAAATGAGACCAAGCCTGTCTAGTCTCCTTTCTGAAACCAAAGCACACATTCTGTTAGCATTGGAATGCGCAGCAGAGAGCAAAAGATATGAATAGAAGAGCTGGGACAACTCCTTGGAGAATTTTTACTACGAGAGTTTCGTAAGTTTAGCTTCTGTGTTTACATAATGTTTTTTTTTTCCATACACTTTTTAGCTGTGAATGTATGCTAAATTCGAAAGGATGGATTACTTCGGATGTATCATAAGATCTAATTTTTTTCCTCAGTGTTTTATATACCTGGTGATGCTGTCTGATTTGAATTTAGTCATATGAAAACACAGCTTTTTTATCATCTTTCTTCTTAGGTCATGACAATGTGCACTTCAGCACATGCTTACATAAGTTTGACAGCTCTTCCTAAGTAGATGGAGAAAATTCAACAGCATTATATTTGTGTAAAGACCCATTGTGTGCTATTTTTACAATTCAGAGGTTTGTAAACTAGATTGTGAACCTAAATCTTGCCACTGTCGCTTTTCTTAGAGGTCTCAAGTTATACAATTTTGCAGGAGCATCTTAATTTGAGTTAGAGCAAATCTGGGAAAACCATCCCAGTTGGTAGACTAGGAAAAATCTGAAGTATTTTGGAAGATGGTTTACTGAATGGCAGACACATCACTAACTAGCTATACATGTTTTAAACAACAAGCTGCTAGAAAACCAACATTTAGTTACTGTTTTGCACAGGAGCAGCCACTTCCTGGCTTTTGTGTTCCTAAAAAAAAAAAAAAAAAAAAAAGTAGCCAAATTGTGAAAAATTTAGCGTGCAAAACAGAATCTGTACTCCTGTGAGGACGAGGAGTGTCAATGATACCGTACACTGGTTGTTAATAAATCAGCTAAATGCTCATGAGGCAGGTATGTTAATTACAATATTGAAACAAGGGGTGTAATGCATATTAAAGTCCTGTTTGTTCTGCAGCGTTTCCTGTCGACGGTGTGTTGTGGTCGGTAACGGAGGAGTACTTCGAAATAAGACGTTAGGGGAAAAAATTGACTCATATGATGTGATAATAAGGTAAATGGTATTTATTTTTCATTTTCTTTGCATATGGAGAGTCACAAACTTTCGTTGTAAGCCAGTAGCTTTATAATTCAGTTATTATACAAATGAGAATGCATAAAAGTTCCCATTATTCTGTTACATCCTTTTTTTTTTTAAAAAAAAAAAAAAAAAAGCAGTGTTTTATTAGATAGATGCGAGGGAGGAGGGAACACTGTGTATTCTGTTTCATGGATGCAAGGTGCTGCCATCTGAGATGGGTCTAGGTATGTGACAGTCCAGAGTCCTGTATTTGCCCATTGCTATGAGCCAGCATCCTGGGCAGCCCTGCCTCTGACCTTCCACACCATGCCTGTTTTACTTTGCGCTAGTGCATGCATTGCTTGGAGTGGATTAAAAGTAACACTTAGACTGTGAAGTCCATCTCAAGGCACGTGTCAACTGGAGCATGATTTTGGTGTCTGTCTCTTTTCCTCAAACAGGTTAGCTTGTAGTGGAAGCATACCAGAGGGTGCTGGGGTCCGGAGGAGGGGTATTTGGATCAGGGAAACTGAAAAAGTGCTCAGAGGGGAACAGGTGTGTGGGGATGTTCTAATGCCAAGGAAGCTGAAATGGACTATTTAGCTAATTATAACAGTATTTTCTACATAATAATAATAAAACAGTTTATTCTCTACAGAAACTGAGATAGTAACCAGTAACATGGCCTTTCTGACAGTAGGTGTTTTGTCAGATGGTGTGCCTGAACCCTCTTTCATTAAAACCTTTACCATTTCAGTTTCTGCTTCAATGTTGTCTCAACCTCATTGTTACTTTGCTGTCAGTGATGCAAGGAAGCTCCATGAAATCTTTTTAACTTATTTCAAGTATTTGGATTTAATCCTTCAATTTAAAAGCTCCTTGTAGATCTATTTACTCTCCTTAAAATGGGAATTTTTACAGATGTCTGGGTCACACATTTAAAAATGGTCAGTTCTAAAAACAAAATTGCTTCAGAAATACAGTATACATTTTTTACTATGAATGAAGACAGAGGTGATTTTTGCATTTTGTATTTAATAACCAGTTGTGATAAAAGCTTTGAAATGTTCTTTTGTGTACCTGCCTAAAACATTTGCTCCCAACCAGCATACCTCCTATTGTGAGCAGTTCAGTTGCATTAGCAGACTGAGTATGCCTGAGTACTCCAAAGAATATGCAACACAGCCATCAAGCAAAAACTGCAAGATGGAGAGTTAAACACAGCTCCTTTGGCACCTCAGAGCAGAAGAGACCTTACCCAGAAGAGATCTCCTGCCTGCTGCTTACTAATATGTTGTAACACAAAGCAGTGGCAGCTGTACAGGAACTATTAAAACAAAAAGCGCTATAAATATGTATCAACATCATTATATGCAGTCATAATCCCTGTTGCCATATGCTGTAGACAGTGGAGAGTATTAAAACACTCTTGAATTGTCTTTTGTGGGAATCAGGTCATCTAGTAATGTGAACGGAGCAGCTGGTAATTCTTCAAGCAAGATATTCTCTTAGGTTTTCTCCAGTTGCTGTGATTGATTTAAAATTGGAAAGTTTCTGCTCAAGTGACACATTATAAGTAATCATGCAGTTGTACTCTAAACCACCTTGGCCATGTTCCCATATGCACTTGATCCCTCTAGGTTAGCAGGTGATGCAGGAGGCATCTGATAATTGCTCATCAACTGTGTAACGTGATAAGTGAACACTGGGCCCCTAACCCCTTGCATGCCTGGATGTGCTGCCTGCCTTGCAGACTTCTGTGTGTGCCAACCACACACAGTAAGGACAGATGTGTGGGGTAGTCATTGCAATCTGTGTGTCTGTGTCCTCTGCAGAATGAATAATGGCCCTGTTATAGGGTATGAAGAGGATGTTGGGAGAAGGACAACTTTCCGCCTTTCTTACCCAGAATCCATCTTCTCAGATCCGATCCACTACGACCCCAATACAACTGTTGTTATCATCGTCTTCAAACCACGTGACTTAAAGTGGCTTTGGGAGATACTAGGCGGTCAGAAAATTGTGAGTTTAAATATTTACGCACTTCTGCACTCAGCTTGCCACACATCTCTCCTATGAGAGTTATCTGTTTTGCTTTTAACCTTAGCCTTCCTGGCTGGGAAGAATGCTGGATCTCCCATTCTGTCTGTTCAGTTTCCCTTTCCCTTGTATGCCTCTATTCTTTCTCACTCCTACATTCAATTTGGCTGTTCGCCCCAAAGCAGTTGTCCTCTCAGAAATATATTTATCTTGTTCTAGCACTGTTTCATATTCTGACACACGTGCTCCAGCCATTTCCCAGGTTATTTTATCCTGCACACTTGGTGAAATTACAGAATAGTTTTTTAAGGGACCTCTCTTTGGAGGTCTGAAGTCTAAAACCCCTTCTCAAAGAAAATGGGTCCAAGTTCAAAGCTATACCAGTTTCTCAGGGTCTTGTTCAGGTAAGTTTCAATTATTTCCAGGGATATTTCTACAACTGTTTCAGTGCTGCACTACTTTCACAGGAAAGAATTTCTTCTCATCCTTTCATTGCACACCCCAGGATCTCAGTGTGATTCTGTTTTTTTGTTGTTGTTTTTGTTTGTTTGTTTGTTTTTTTTAATCCCCAATCAGTTATTTAAAGGTAGGCTGAAAAAAACACACTTCTCAAACCCTTCTTGCACAACATGTGCCCTGGCCCCTACCCATTTTAGTGACCTTCTATTGAATTTGCCCCTGTTCGATGCTCTCTCTTGTGCTGGGGCTGGAAGGAACCCAAAATGGTGTTTGTGAGACCACTGGCAGGCTCAGTTCGGAGTACTTGAGAGAGATCATTTTCGTCTACTTGCTCCATATGCTCTTCTTAAATTAGCCAAGTACATAATAAGCATTTGTTGCCCCCAGGGCACTGTGCTGGTGCATGTTGTCCACGAGGGACTTTTCTGCAAAGATGCTTGCCAGCCAACCAGCCCTAACCTCTGCTGTAGCAGGGGTTTGTCCTGTTGCAGGAGCACAATTTGGCACATACTATTACTGAATTCTGTCTAGGAGGTTCAACGTTCCTTTTCCCCTTCCTCAAAGTGCTGCTTTTGGATTTTGCTCTGGCTAGAATTAGAATTTAGTACCAAAACAAATTCAACTGTGTCTGGCAGTTAAAAACATGTAGTTATTTGCCTGTTACAGAGTGCTAAAGGCTTTTGGAAGAAACCAGCTCTGAACATGATATACAAATCTAATCAGATCAGGATTCTTGATCCCAGCATCACCAGAAAAACGGCTTATGATTGGCTTCATTTCCCAACAAGGTTTCCCAAAAAAGAGGTAAGCTTTTTTCTTTTTTAGCTTTTAGTTACATGCCACCAAAGAAGTAATCATTTCTTCATTATAGTGGGACTGTGTTAGAACATCTTTCAGATTCTCATTGCATAAGCTTGGGCTTAGGTGATGTTCAAAAAAAAAAAAAAAAAAGAGAAAATGGAGTTCAGGAAGTGTCTAGTCTTGTTCGCCAAAAATATTTATGGGTTCAATAATTAGTATTAACTACTTCTGTCTGCAAGTGTTGTCTTATTTCCTCTTACAAATTGGGAAAAGCAGATAGGCATTGGAATACAATGGAGCTGAAGAGCCTCTAGAAATATTAAGGAGTTTTGAATTACTAAATGTAGGGCTTTTTTTCTTAACAAACAAACCAGTAATTTTAGCACTGCTGCAATTTCACTCTACTGGGGGTGGGTAGGAAGTGGGGAGCACACAGGATATTCCAGACCTGCTCTAATGATGTGTATTTAACAGCATTCTTGAACTTACTGATTTGATGCCAAGCTAAGTAATGAGTTAACCAACAATTTAGATATTAAAAAAAAACAAAAAAAAAAACAACAGCAACATTTCAACTGTCAGCTTTTGGCCGAAGAATGTTTTTTTGATGAAAGGTAAGGCTTCAAGTAGGAGACCTGACATGGTCACACCTCACTGCACAAGGGTTGTTTAACAGAAATGCTTGTACAAATGCAGTTCTTTTGGGTCACAGTCACTGCACGGAGCTGCTTCATCAGGATCAGCCAACTGATGCACATGGAAACTTGTTACAAGCTGCTACTGTGGAGTATCTACCACAACTGTTTTTCAGTTTAATCTTTCTAATGTTTGAGGGAGTTGTTTTGTGGTTTGTTGCTTGTTTTCTTATGTGTGTTTTTTGTTGTTGTTGATTATTATATTTTTTCCAAAAAAATAGTGGTCTACTAGTGTCTTTGTCTCCCTTATGAACTCTCAAACTGAAATTCCCAGTTCGGCTGCATGCTTGCCAGGGCTCCGTGGCATTTCAGCTCTTCAGCTGAGAAGAGGACAGCACAGAAGTTGGGAGCTTATTGATCTCTGAAAGGGCCACAGAGTATCCATGACTTTCATGGTTCCAGAAATCTCTTCTGTCTCTTCTTGTGCTGCTCCTCGCTCAGTGGAAGTGAAATTGAAGCTGGTGCTGTCAGTGAGCCAAGCAGATGTGTGTGGTGTCCTGGAGCTGATATGCAGGTGCAGGCTGCTCAGTCCCTTTGAGTAATGTGTATGTTCTTCATTCCTCTTCTGCTTGCTGGGTGCCCTTGCTTGGAGCTGGAGCAGAGCATGTCTGTGGTAGGATGTAGGTACCCCTTTCAGCTTCTTCCGCATCCCTTGCTTCGTTCCCAGGTTTTTACAGCCCCACATCCCAGACAGCAGCGACAGCTGAGCTTAGGTGTACTTGTCCTCACTTCTCCCATCACGCAGAGGTGGGCTATGGCTTGGAGCCTGCACATCTGCAGTCGCTCTGGCACAGCTGATGCGAAGCAGCTCAGTTAAGTCGGGGTTCGTGTTGGGTGGTCTGTTGCGTGGCCCAGTCTGGAGCTCTCTGTATTTAGAGCACATCCCTGGGGGAAAGGGAGGAACTGGTGCTGCCTGTGCTGTCCTATGCTTCAGCCCCCTCTGCCTGAAAAGATGCCAAAGACAGCTGTTACTGTTGCTGCCTTTACCATTAAGCCAACATTATATTCCCTGTGTGTGCATTTGTGCTTAGTCCTGCAAGCATTTCAGTTTCTCTGCCAGCAATATGATGGTATTAACAGAGCTGGGAAGAACAACTGTAAAATGAAATGTGCTTCCCCAGCAGCAGTAAAGTCAAAAAGTGTTAGAGTCATTGCAGCACCGTGCCTGTTCCCACTAAACATGACTGGCTGAACAAAATTAATTGCAGGCCAAGATCTGTGGACATTGCTAGGGCAGGCCAGGATCTGCACACTTCAGTGACAGCAGTTCTGCTTGGCAGAATCCACAGAAAATCAGTTTGCTTGGTAAGAACTTCCTTTGAGGCTTGGTTGGACAAGAAAGCATGCTTAAAGCATGAAAATGCATTTCAAAAGTAGGGTTATTATTATAATTCTTATATTCCTTTGAGGTGAACCCTATATTTATGATAGGCAAGGGTAAATAGACCTAGCTCGCAACCTGTGATATTCCTGAGATTTCCAAATAAGACTAATTCTGACAGGTACCATGCCTGTCATAATTTTGGGGGACTATTTAATATGGGCGTTGCAACAGGTGTACCACTATGGTATTAGGGTATTAGGGCATTATGGTATTAGGCCCACAGGGTGGAAAGCTGTTTTGCTAATTGGCAGGAACCCTGGGCTGTGGTGTGCATTTTAAGTCAGTGTCATTTTTGGAGTACCCCAAAAGTTGTATAAAGGTACAAGAAAAAAAATCACGTAAAAGATAATTCAGTTGTGTGATTTTAATTAGGAGAGCTAATTAAAGAGTTGATAGTAAGTTTTCCCTGGTGATTTGTTCCTTTATCATATAATACAAAGATGTGTTTTTGTGTCATTGAGTTCTGCCTTCTCCCTGTGCAGAATTATCCACTGCTGCTTTGCTTGCTTTGTTTTCAGAGGCAAATGATCTGAGTCTTGAGTAAGAATTCAAAAAAGAAGGTGATTTTGTGCTCACTTTAGGGTTCGACTGCAACTACTGAAAGTGTTCAGTTCATTTGGTCTCTGATAAAACTGTTATTTTAGCCAAGACTGGCATGTCTGCCTGAAAGTTTTACTCATTTATAGGGAATTTTTCCTTTAAGCTTCACAGGTTGATATGATGAAAGAAATGACCTCTGTGTACAAACCTTGCCTCAATTACTTCCTTAGATCATTTTAACTGCTGCTAAAAGAGCCATGTCTGTTATCATAAAATGTACATGATGCTTCCAAAGAGTTCTCTGGTCTTGTAAGAAATGCAAATCTTCAGTTCGATGCTCTTAAGTTTGCGCGATTAAAACCTGTTTATTGCCTGCTCTTGGTATTTTAAGTTGCATTTACTTCTGAGCTTTCTTACTGTAGGGAGACATAAGCAATTTTATCTAGTGACCTTTTTTCTAATGAAAGTAGTGGGGGAAGAAGATCTAAAGCTGCCTTTTCATGAATTTCCCTGCTGAAAAAATTCAAATGTAGCCAAGTTAATGCAACTGTAGTGCAGATTTTCGGTTTGGAGATAAAAAAAAAAAAAAAAAAATTTGAGACATGTCATACTCTGTTCACAGGAATCTTAGTCATCTAGAAACTTTCTGAACGCATCTGATAACCCTGTCATGTTTGATGGAGGAGAAACTGTCTCCAATGTATAGAAGTCTGACTGGTTTTGTGAAAGTAGGTTGCTGAGTGGTGGGGTGACAGGACCTTACTGGTGCCTCTGCTGAGGGACAAGCTACAGTACAGGCTCAGCTCGTGCTAGAAAAGCAGAAAATCTGAGGGAAGGCTGACACAGTAGGTATCCTGGTCACAGAAAAGCTGCAGGCAGCACCTTACTCCTTTATGAGACAGGAGGGGATCCAACCCCAAAACAAAATGTCTGTAGAAGAGCTAGGCTCCCTGTTTTTTTCTGCCTTTTTTCTTAGCTTTGCTGTTCACGTCAAGCTGCCGGTTAATTATGCATGCATGTTGTTTGTGTTCTCTTTTAGAAACCCAAGCACCCAACAACGGGGCTAATTGCCATTACACTAGCATTTCACATTTGTCATGAAGTTCACCTGGCAGGCTTCAAGTACGACTTCACTGACAGAAACAGTTCTTTGCACTACTATGGCAACGATACAATGTCTCAGATGATGCAGGTAAGGTGCACTTGTTCATGCTGAGGGGCATGCTTTGAGAAACGCTGCTGATAAGTGAGGAAGGCAATGCAGCGAGATAAAAACGTGGATTGCAGGTTAGAAAGGCCTCCCATCTTCTGCTGGTTCAGCTGCTCATGGGTTAATGTTGTTTAAACTCACATCTCCTGCTTTTGTTTCTGAAAAATGTGGGTAACGTTTGTCCCTTGAGCTACACCTTATTCTGTAACGTCATCATTTGTGTACTCTGTTTTGCTTTAATGATGTTCTTCCTAGGCTACGCAACTCTTGTTTGTAGAGGCACATTATCAGAACATGAATAGGTACTGTTCTTGTTTCAGTTCTTTTTATTTGGTGGCTACTTGAAAAACTAGTCTTAGTTGCCAGATTTCTTTAATAAGAAAGAAGTAAAGGAGTTAAAATCTATAAACTTGCAGCTGGGGAAAGAGCTGAATTTCAGAATTGAAAAGTAGAAAAGAAAAGTAGCTCTTACAGAGGGATAGGAAGAGAAGGAAGTGTTTCCAGGAGGTGGAAGCCACAACTCACCAGGGAAGGAAGCAACAGGAGGCTGGCAGACATCAGGAGTGCCTTCTCCTCCTGCAGAGAAGTGTTTTTCTACAGCCATGCCTCTATTTTCTTTAATGTCTCTGCTCTTACCTTCAGCTCTGTACTCTGAGCATCTTAGTCTCAGCCCTTTACATCAATGGGAACATTTTTCTCATCCATATGCACACCTAGTATGGTGTGTTGGTTCCAGCCAGGGCTTATTTTCTTTCCTCCTGCCTTTCTTGAAAATGTAGTATGGGGCAATGTCCATAGGAGCCTCTCAAGTCTCTCTGAGGAATCCTATGTGCCCTCTGCTCTGAGATAATTTTCTTCTGGCACTGAACTCATGGTCATTTTCAGGTTCTTCTCTGCAGGTTCTTTGCTTTTTTTTTCTTTTTTCCCAATATACTCAAAACTTGGGTAAGGTTGATCACTAGTTGAATAGACATCTATAACTTCCCTAAAATCTGAGAACTTGAAACAGAAGCATTTACACTGAATTCATCTTAATTTTTTTTTGGATTCTGTGTCCAGTAAGCTTACCTGAAGCATGAGGTTCTTTGAATTCCCTGTAGTCCCCAGGGGATGTTTTGGATTTCCTTGTTCTGTCCTCTACTAACCTCAGTGGTCTCTTGATTATCTGGGGCCCTGCATGAGAGAGCACTGAAAATAGATTGGTTTGGGCTTGTTAGAGCTGACTGGCAGGACACATTCAAGCTACAAATGTCTCGTGTGCTCTTTGAGAACCTGGGTTGAGCTTTGAGAATTACTCATTTACAACATAAGCAGTCAGAAAATGTCGTTATACTGCTGTTGCCTATAAGCCCAGGGAGGAGCTGGGAGAGTTGGTAAAGGAAGGGCTTCTGTCCTACGGGTTTGGTTTGTGTCCTAATAGAAAGTCTAGTCTAGTTTTGAGCACTGGGTTCACTCACCTGTTTTCTTGGGAGACCGTACTACAGCCAATCTAAGAAGTCTTTTCCCTGCTTCCTGCTCTTAGCATCTTCCAAGCAACACAAGTAATTAGAAGGAAAGAGCAATAAAGTGGTGCTTCTGGTAATAAGTTGAATTTAATTTTTTTAATTATTATTCCCTCACATCTCTTTAGAATGAATACCATGACATCAGCGCTGAGCAGAAATTTTTGAAGAAGCTTATAGACAAGAACTTCGTGGTCAATTTGACATGAAAGATGGAAAATATGAAGAACAATCACTATTTTCAAGATTCAAAAAAATTTTATTTTTTTGTATGACACTTTTATTTTTTAAGTGCAACATAACTGTTTACTGTTTAAAAGGAGCACAGAAACCTCACAAGGCAGAAGCTTCTTCTAAGCCTGAGGATAATGGACTGTTGCAAACAGAGAACTGAATTTCTGTGAAGTTATTTAATACTGGGGAAAAACATGACACTTTCAGCTGAAAGTATCAGGGATATAGAAAAAAAAAATGTGATCCACATGACTTATTTATCAGCAAGAACTTTTTCCAACTGTTTAATTCTCTGGAATATCTTCCTTTCTAACATTGTCCTCCAAAAAGGTTACACTGTCAAGAGACTGCGAAGAGCGTTTAGGTAATGGATGTAAAGTCTTGAATCTCTTGTAATCTGAAAGTGGCTTTAAAAACAATGCCTATAAATCATTACCGTGTCTGGGAGAAGGGGAAACATACAGAGCACACAGGCTTAAGCCTGTCCTACTCCTGAGCAGAGAACATCATCTTCAGTGAAGAAGCCACAGCCTGCATTGGTCATCTACTCTGAACTGCTGTCTGCATGTGCCAAAGGTGAATACCCTTTGGTCTGATTTGTGGATTTGTTGGTATTGACAATGCTTGTGTTGTATCCAGTTTATGGAAAAACATACACCCTGTGCTGTGCTTCCAATAAATTTTACAAGTTTTGACTTCTCTTAGAAAAAAGGGAGTTTGAAGACTGAAGATTTGTCTTAATTACTTGTCTGTTACTTCCTGCAAACCACAAAAGGAATGTGAGCTGGGACAGAGATGCAGAGTGTATCTTCCTGTTCACTTGTCAAGTATCAAGATAATTTTTCCAGACTAGCATAATCCCCTTTTTCACATGCTGTAGTGAATATCCGACTTTGAAATGCATCAATGTGAACAACTGTTCTTATTTTTGATAGTGGAGCATGCTGGGGAACGTTCAAGATGTACATCAGCTGAATTATCATTTGGCTTCTGCTAATCTTTTCCATTTTTACTTTTAGATTTAAAGAAAGTGGCTGAACTAAATTAGCAGTGGGAATTTACATGGGATTTTATGAAAGTACTTAATGGGATGGTTACATTTCCTGTATTGATTTTTGTCTCAGACAGGCCTGCTGAATTAGTTAAATTTGTTAGGGAATGACCTTGACAACTATCAAAGATTAACTGAAAAAGTGAAATGCCATTCTAATTCTTTCATAGGATATATATACATGTTTATCTTCTTTATTTCGTCAGGTTTGTTTGAAGATTTTTTGGTTATCTTGATCAATCACACCTAAAGAAAGCACAAAAGTCTGCTTCCAAAAAAAACCACAAACAAAACAGACAAACAAACAAAACAAAAAACACCTCTTCAATGTTGGTAGAAAAAAAATCATGAGCACAGTATCATCTTTTTCAGGAGCTGAGGATTACAAGTGTACTGAACAGCAACATAGAAGAGTAAGCATGACCAGAATCAGAGTCAGAGTGACCAGAGATCAGTCTCATCCTTTTCCCATTTCTCTTGCAGCGTGCAATAGGTATCTGAAAACTGCCTGTAGTTCTCATCTTTTTCTTTAGCACTTTGGTTCTGCAGTTGGGAATTGCTGAGTGCAGCATGACTTGCAGGCAAACCTCACCCAAAGAAGAGGTGCCTTTTGCTGCATGGTATTTTCACTTAATGACTCCTGACTTCTGTTTGGTTTCAAGCAAATTGGATGCATTCAAAATAACTGAGGATGTCATTAAAATCTGCATCCCCCTTGTGGTACAGGCAGTGCCATGAGTGTGGCAGTTCAGCCACCTCAAGTGATCCTGTGTGGGGTCAGTCCTTGTCCAGCTGGGTGCAGGGAGGGGAGGGGCATGCCAGAGGTGCTGGGGGCAGCGGGGCAGGTGTCTGTCCTGGCAGAAGTGTGGGAAACCAGAATTTCTTCACAAGGTGGTGGAAGGAGTCTTACTCAGTTATTCTTGTGTATAGCCTTCCCCCGTCCCCTTTTAACAGGCACATTTCTGAGGCTTTGAGAAGGGCTCTGCTTAAAAATCTGAACAGGAATAGGTAGGGTTATGCACCAGAAGGCAGTGATACTACTATTTTTAGCTCTACCATAATGTATTTCTCATGATTATTTCAGTTAGTAAGTTTTGTACATGACTGTATAGCACCAGACCTGCAGCGATTTAAACTACTGACAACAGCAACTCCCCAGGAAAACAAAAATCCAAGGCAAGGTTTTTCATAAAGCTCACAACACTGACCTTTCTTTGCATGGAAGCCCCTAGCAGATGTCTCACTGTGCCGAGGGCAGAGCCAGGCAGAGGTGGGTGCATCCCCCCTAGGAACCTGGGGTTGCTCCCAGAGCCAGCCCTGGCTCCCCCAAGTGTTGTGGGGTGCCCCGCTGCTGTGGACTGGATACCAGGGTATGGGCTCGTCCACCTGACATCCCACACCACGCTGACTGCAAGGACTTCTGTCCAGGAGAGCTGTTGCGTTTGCCATCTCTGTGCAGTGTCTGGTTCTTGTGATGGTGCTGGCTGTGTTTGTTGTTTTCCATGTGATTAGTGTGCTGTCTACCGGCATATATCCCTATCAGCTGCTCCTGCTTATTTCTTTTTAGTAAGTCTCCCCACTTGAATATCTTTCTCTTTTTGGCAATTAAACAGTACTCCTGTGGATGTTTTTTCCCCGCTTCTTTTTCTCCTGCAGGAAAGTTTGAGTCAGTGTAGGCTGAGGTTGCCCTCACAGGAGGGTGACTCAGTAAAGGTTAGAGCCAGGCCTGTTTGCTCAGGCCTGAGCCAAGAGTTAACGCTATTGATAAACCGTAGGGCAGTGTTTTTTGAAAGCACAGCCTGCTGGCCACCAGCTCTTATCTTCAATAATAAGCTGTGAGCTACCTGATTCATTGGTTTTCCCCTGTAAGATGTTTTGGTAGGGTTCTGTGTATGCTAGCACTGCTTTGTCAGCCTCACTTCATGAGGTTGTTTTGTGCTGTTCTGCCTTGAGAACAGTTACTGCTTTTACACGGACTTGATGTAGGCAGGAATAACGCTGTGTACTCCGTCAGTAATGTCTACAGATCATGGTGTCTATTTTATCTGGGCACAGGTTTTCAAAAGTAGCTTGCAATACTAAAGATTAGGCTTGGGACTTTATTAATTAAAAAAGAAATAATAATAATAAAAAAGCAATAATGCTTACTCTGACTATTTCAATCTCTTTGAGAATGAGTTGATATTAAGATTTTCTCTTCCCATTTTTGTCATTCCTAAAGGCAAGGGTTCTGCACTGAAATGTTATTGTACTAGCTGCCCATTACGTTGATCACATCATCAGTGGTGAAGCTGCCACGTTTAAATCCCAGGTTGCTGCAGGCCTTATTTCCATGTCTGGTAACAGCATAACTATGTAGGTGCCAGGTACCTTATGTGAAGTGTATTTCTGTATCAGTTGCAGATGGTTTCACCATTGCTTCCTCCCTTCACATTCTCCAGCAGTCTGCTGAAATTCAAGCCAGCAGCATCTTGCAGCAGACGTGCTCCTGCATTTTATCTGCCCCCCTGTACAATAATGCTCCACCATCAGAAAGACCCAGCTCTAAAGTACCAACACGTACACACAGACACACACACACAGCCAGGTGACTTGCATCAGCCAAAGTTCTGTTTGGCTCAGACTTTTAGGGTGCCTGTTTGTTTTTGTCGGTATCTTTTCCTCTACTGTAATAATTAAGGGAAGTTCTGAGATATGATGTAAGAAGGAAGGTGAGAAATTATTGCACTAAATATGAATTTGAGAGTGCTTGAAAGATTAAAAGAGTGCTTAAAACAAAACCATGTTCCAGTGGCTCTGTGTTGAGAATAATGCAGAATCACAATGTTGGTGTTTAATAATTAGTGTATGGTATTTCTTGTATCCTACGCCATGTTTCTCTTTTTAACAGTGCCCTGGCAGGTAATACAACACCTTAACTTTTAAGCGGAGTCTGATTTTTAAGAACATTAGAAAGCTCGACGTCGGTTTCTGGTGTAGGTAATTATTTTATTTGCCATTTTTCTTAAGTTTTATATGCCTTTAAAGTGCCAACTGTATTTTGAAGACATTCTTAGAGTTTTTCAAGTGAAATTTTGAATGCTACAAATGGAAAAAAAATATTTTTCTGTGAATAAATTGTGTTAAAGATGCTGCCCTCAAGCTTATTTTTGTAAGGCTCATGCCGTGTGTGTGCCCAAGCCCATTATTAGTGCTGTGTAAAGTAAATAAGGGATTGTCAGATGGGGCATCGAGTTTCAAAATGGACTACTGTGGTTAGTAGGGTAAACAGGGGTGAATTTTTTTGAGCCTAGGTGCAGTACCTGAACTGTGCTGCAGGTAGAAATATCACTCTTGACTCATGAAAATCACAGCTGGGACGTGGTATTTGTGGGCAACGTCAAGACGAGCATCCTCCTGACATTGTTTGGTGGCTTTATAATCTTTACAGCCGTACTCTCTTCTTTCAGGGGAATGCTAAGATAGATGTTTAACTAGGAAGATGTGTGTGATGAAGGACTTTAGATTGGAAGAATCAACACTGATTTCAGTACTTCACTCATGTCGTCTTTTCTCTTTCCTCCTGTGCAGTGAAAATGAGATGATGGGGAGCAGGGACCTGCTTAGCCAGCAGCCTCAGGGAGTCTGAGGGCAATTTAAAACAGTTGCCTGCCCCAAGTGGTGGGTATTCAATGCATTCGTTTTGATATTGACCTTTCAGGAGTTCACCAGCTTGGAGGAAATGCCTGTCTTTGAGGAGAGACCATCGGCTGCAATCCACTCTCTGCAGTGGAGCGACAGATCATCACTGAGCTAGTCAGTGACAAACTGGTTGCCACTTTCACACCAGCTTTTTGCCACAGGAGAAAAAATGGGTCATGAGGAGATCAGCAGAATGGGAGAAGCTGTTCTCAAATGATCAGGAGAGCTGGGGCTATAACAGGTGTCTTGAAGCCTGGGAAGCCCACAGCCAACTTTGGCTTTTTGGCTGAGTGCAACCACCCAACAACGCATCTCATAGCTATTTGAATTTTCAGCTTCCCCACATCCTGCCCCCTGTGCCTTTTTCAGCTGCACTCCTACACACGCTGCTGTCCCCAGTCCATAACACCTGCTCCTTGCCAAACCCTTGCTCTGTGTAGTGCACTAGGAATGTGCCATTGCCCTCGTGGGAGCCTCTTGCACCCCAGATTCCTCTGGGTCCACAGCTGCTGCCTCCTGCTAAATGCAACGATAGGACAATGCCTTCCTCTCAGGGAGTTAAGGTAAGTCTTGTCAGCAGGGAGGAAACAAAGAAAAATCTACATAATTATATATAGATTTGTTTTTTCATATCATGTTGTCAGTGGCTTCAGAGGGTCCTTGTAGTCTGATACATGTATTTTGTGGCTTGAATGTTCATTCTAATGAAGAGAGGATTTTTTTTAAAGATATTTAATAAGATATTTTTTTTCAAATCAGTACAAAAATTTTAAATACAAAATTATTTGCTTTTGACATATCTCATATATTCTGGAAACATACCCAAGTCACCAATGCCTGGTAAGCTGTCCGTCCGTTCCTGCCAACGTTCCATAAAATTTCTGAGATAAAGCACCACATTATATCACTGGAGTCCTTAGTCAATGTTAGACTGCATTAAACTCTGCACTTAAATAACAGTAATGCCAGTTAAATCCAATTTTAGTTCTGCATGAAAAATCTAGTTCATTTTTGAATCAAAAGCAGTAGCATTAGCTAAGACATGGAAGAAGTGAGGAGTATTTGACTCTTTCAACTAACGTAAGTGTGTGATGTGCAGCACTGTACAGGGAAACACAGAAAAGGACACTGTCATTTTTAAATTAATACTCTTGAGGTGAGATTAGCACCATTGATGAACAGACAGTTCTTGCATAAAAGTTGCTTTTCCCCACATACAGAAAAGATTGAGGCCTCTGCAGATTCTCCTAGACAATTGGTAACACATAAATAAGGATTGGAAATCAGCTTTTATGTAAAGTGAAGTTGTTGGATAAATTTTTATGGTCAGTATTGCTGGTAAAGTTACTGATTGATCTCAGACAATGAATTAGTTAATTAGCAAGCAGAGCTACTTCTGCTTTGCCTAGTCATCAAAGAGTAAACTGATTTAATTTTGGCTGAGTGGCAGAATACCTGTATCTTATTACAAGCCAGACAGACTGCAGGTTTTTAGCATGAATACAGGAATTGGAGCAAATTTATACCACCCTGCTGCATTGCCACATGTCAGCCAAGATGTCTTAATCACGTGGCATAAAGCCCATAGGAAGACTTTAAATTTTGTGTGATCTACCTCATCTGCTTCAACAGTGCAAATGCAGATGGAGGCTTTTTGGATGCTCTGGCATTTGGAGGTGAACCCAGTGCCCACTGGAGTCAGGCACCCTTCTGAGTCCAGAAACGCCCAGAGAAAGCTCTCAGGGAATGGTTATGCCATCACTAGTCCTTTTCCATAATAAACAAATTGTTTAGGAAAACAAATCAAATACCTGCAGGAATATCTTACACGGGAAGAGAAATAAAGATCTCCAGCTAAAAGAACCTCTGCCTGTCTGGCAGCCCTTCTGTCAAAAAAAAAAAAAAAAAAAAGCAACCCCCACAAAACAAAACAAAACCAACCCACCACCGAAACCCCCCCAAACAAGTAAAAAGCCACTCAATTTTTCCATGTAATTTGAGATTGACCTACTATGTTTTCAGTCACTGTTTTTCATCTCATAACTATGATCAATGCATCAATTAAATATGCAACAGGAGAGTGACGTAAACTGATTTGAACCTTAGTATTGCATTATTGTGAATGAAATGAAGCATGGCGTCACAGAAATATATAATGTACAGCTAATATGTCCCCCTTGGGTGCAAAATGACTGTTTATGAACCTGATACACACCTTTAAATATGTTCACCACACTTTTTTTTTTTTTATATCTAGCTGTGCATAATGTTAAACTTTGTATTTTTTTTTTTGTACAAGATGGTCCGAAACAGTCATTAAATGCATCTTTCATGGTATAAGAGTTTTAAGCGGAGAAGAAAGGTTTAGATTTGTATGTGTGTGTGTGACTGTCTGGTTTTTGTTTTTACATGGGATACAATAAATATCCTGAAAAAGACGAATGCACGTATTGCCCAGCATAGAGTCCTGCTGCCTGTTCGGATGGCATCTGAACGTAAACCTTGTCTCCGTGCATCAGCTGAACAACGGCACTCCCGGAGGCTTGGTCCAGGAAGCCCTTCTTGTACTCGTCGTAGGTGTACATCAGCGGCTCGTTGTTCTTGAACAAAGCCACCCAGACGCTGGCCCCTTTACAGTGAACGTGGTAGGCGAAGTAGTAGATCCCGGGGATCTCGCAGGTGAAGATCCCTGTGGCGGGGTTGTAGTTCTGCCGGCCGTTGTAGAGGAGTTTGTCGAACTTCACGGGCACGCCGACCCGGGGGAAGGGGGTGAGGAGCTCCGCCGTGAACGCGGGCATCTCGTAGACGGCACCGGCGGCCTTGCCCTTCTTGCCCGCGTAGCCGTACGGGGGCTTGACGCCATCTATCCCCGGCCCCACCTCGGGCAGGTACTGTCCCACGGCCGGCGGAGTTGGGGGGATGATCACTGGGGGGCCAGGGGGCCCGGGAGGGCCGGGGGGCCCCTGGAGGCCGGGCTGGCCGGGGGGTCCCAGCGCCCCGGGCTTTCCCGGGGGGCCCTGCAGCCCCGCGGCCCCAGGTTTGCCCATGCCAGGGAAGCCGGGGGGGCCGGGCTGGCCGGGCTCCCCCTTGGCCCCAGGCAGCCCTGGGGGGCCGATGGGGCCGCTGGGCCCTGCAATGCCTGGGATCCCCGAGGGGCCCTGAAGCCCCTGGGCGCCGGGCAGCCCCGGCTCGCCCTTCGGCCCCACGAGCCCCGGGACGCCCGGCAGCCCCGGCAAGCCCTTGTGCCCGGCTTCCCCCTTGGGCCCCGTGGGGCCCGGCAGCCCCCGCAGCCCGGGGGCTCCCACTTCCCCGGGGAAACCTGGCTTCCCGGGGAACCCCTGCAAGCCGGGTTCACCCTTGGGGCCCACTGGTCCCGGTGGCCCCACGGCGCCGCCTTCTCCCTTGGGTCCCGGGAAGCCCGCAGCACCGGGGGGGCCCATGATGCCTGGCAGGCCTGGTTGGCCCGGCTCTCCCGGGGGCCCCCCCATGCCGGGTGGCCCCACGTGCCCTTTTTCCCCCTTGGGCCCCAGGGGGCCGGGCAGGCCGCCCACCCCACGCTCACCTTTGGGCCCGGGGAAGCCCGGCTTCCCAACCCCGGGGAGGCCAGGGGGCCCCGGCAGGCCTGGCAAGCCTTGCTCCCCTTTGCCACCCGGGAAGCCCGGCTGGCCAGGGATGCCGTCTTGGCCGGGTTTGCCAACCCCAGGCACGCCGGGAGGGCCTTGCATCCCAGGGACCCCCGGGGGTCCCTGTGGCCCCAGCTCGCCTGGTGGGCCAGGCTTGCCTAGGGGACCCTGCGGTCCTGGGAACCCCACCATCCCCGGCTTGCCGACCCCTGGCAGACCCACAGGGCCAGGGGGGCCGGGCAGCCCGGGCGGGCCCTTCAGTCCTGGCAAACCCGGGATCCCAACACCCTTCTCCCCTTTTGGACCAGGGATCCCGGGGACCCCTGGGGGCCCCTTCATCCCAGGTTCACCCTTAGGTCCTGGCTGTCCCTGCAGCCCTGGAGCACCCGCTTTCCCTATTCCTGGAAGCCCGTGAGGTCCCGGTGGTCCCTGTGGCCCCGGTATCCCCATGGGCCCGACCTCCCCCTTCGGTCCCATCTCCCCTCTTGGCCCTGGTGGCCCCATCACCCCTGGTTTCCCAGGCATCCCTGGCAAACCCGGCTTCCCAATTCCTGGATATCCTTGTGGACCTGGTTTTCCTTTGGCTCCTGGCACGCCGTGACCTGGTAATCCTGGTGGCCCTGGTGGCCCTCTTGGTCCAGGCTCACCAGGGGGACCTTGCTCACCCCTCAAGCTGCGCACAGGCATTTCTGGGTTGGGGAGGAAAGAAATAGGGAAGGGGGGGGGGGAAAATAGAGAAAAAAGGTGAATGTAATCGCATCTCTTGAAAAACACAAAGGTAATTTTAAACTGAATGTGCTTCTTATGGTACCTCTTGTTTTTGTGGTAGGTGGAAAAATTGAACTGGCCAGAAAATTACTGGCTGATGTTTGTAATTAAGAGGATGTTCTTGCTGTTTTGCATACCCCAAACTTGCGTGTTTATTTCTGTTTATATGAAATACTTGTTTTGCATCCTCTTCGCTTATTTTTTGTCACGTAAAAGCCATTTGGTAGTGTTTCCATGTATATGATATTAAGCAGTGAAATCTGCCTATTGTCCCATATTGCTGTATGAGTTTACGAGGAACGCAGGAGCTGCTCAGTGTGTTCATGCGATAGGAGTACTTCACCCTTAAGAGGTGAAGTAACTTGTTGGAGGGGCCCTGCTTGTTGTAGGGGCTTACATTAGCAAGAATTCCTTGATTAACATCATTAAAATAAGGTTGAAACAGTAAAAAGTTTAAGTCTGGTATGACTTGCCTTTTCAACAAGGCTTTAGTTCACATTAAAATCTTACTGGAAACCTACAGCCTTACCTGGCATTGCTAAGCTCTCAAAAGTTTTTGGCATAGCCATGGCTAATTAGATCTCCCTCTAAACACTTCACAAAAAGCTTTTATGGTCCCAAACCACGTTTTTGTTTGTGTGTGACCATTTGGCATTTCAGGTTGAGGTGAGGGAGATGCTGCCTGGGAGCGGTTGTGCTGGGGGGTGGTTGCTTTTCAAGCTGCAGACTTCTGCATGTAGTGGAAAGTCTGGTTCTCTCCTGCTCTAAAATTGAAGAAGTGAGAGCTTTGGGATATGGGGGAAGGAGACAGATGAGGTTTCAGGGCAAGGGAATTGACTGTTCTCTGAGAGGCAGAAACCCTCTCTCTCTGCACATTTTGCATTTTATGTATGTAGAAAACCTTTGCTTACAAGACAGATTGGTTTTACTACAGTGAGTCGTGCTTGTTTAGGCACTCCAAAAACAGGCCCTGAAATCCTCCATTTCCCACTGAAGCCAGTGGAAGCTGTGATTACTCTGGACCTTTAGAAAGGCAGAAAGTTAACTGGCTGGGCTGAGGCTGCACATACACTTGCTGTGCCCACAAGGATTGTATGACACTGGACATTACAGGTCTGGACATTTTTAGTTGCTTTCTTAAATATTCTAGTACTTTCCAAACTTCTTTTACTGAATTCTGAAAGTGCTCGTTTGTGCAGACTTGAGCAGCAACACCCTGTATGTTCAACATGTTAGTCCCACAGATAACCTACAGAAAGATGACTTCAAGAGTCAAAAGAGCAAATCTACGCTACATCCAGCCAGCAGCAGCCCGTTCACCTATGGGCAAACACTGCCATGGGCAGCCATGTGTGTCCCCATGCAGGGCTGATGAGGGGCCCGCTTACCTTTTTCTTTCTTAGGAGCCATGTCCTTGCCAAGCAGAGGCACCTGTGGCACCTCCTTCATGTACTGAGGCAGGTGGGGATACTCCTTGCCGTACTGCATGTGTGGCACCTCCTTGCCCATGTGCTGCATCGGGATGCCTTCTTTGCCCAGCGGCATGTGAGGTACTTGTTGTCCGAGGGCTTGGTACTGGGGCACCTGGGGTGGCAGCTGCTTGATGCCATAGTAGGCGCCGCCCTGAGTGGACCTCACCAGCTGTAGGTAAATGGCGACAGCCACCGCCAGTAGCTGCACGGGGACCAGCAGCACGGCCATCACCTGTGGAAAAAAAAAAAAACAGTAAAACCCACAGTTGGCAGGAAATTGTTTTATGTAAGGCTTGGTTCATCACCTCAAGCTAGCACTGTGGGCCTGGATGGCGGGAAGCACGGAGTGCCCAGGTGAGGGGAGAGTGTGTGAGCAGCTGCAACTGGGGGTGAGCTCGTGGGGTGCTGCAGGCATCGGGCCCTCAGGGGTTGTCTGGTGTTGTCCCTGCTCGACACTGTAGGGCTCAGTGCAAGTACCAGGAGTGCTGGCACTGGCCATCAGAGAAGCCTTGTCTCTCTGGGGTTGTGAGGGTTATGGACCTGGTGGTGATATCTCACTCAGTTCGTGTGTTCTGCTCCTGCTCTGAGTTCCCCAGTAGTTTGCCTTAGCAGAGCATTTAGGGAAAGGCTTGTTCATCTTTTAAAACATCTCTCCCTCACTTTGTTCTGTGAACTCTAATAGCTCAAAGGAAATTTGGATGTGATTGTTATTGAGGGAGGGTAAATTTAAACGGTGCAGGATACTGTTATCCCACCGTTTTCCTATTTGCGTTTTTCAAGAGGCTTTCTCCCCACAGATGTTGTAACATCACTGTTGTTAAAACAACCGGCAGAAAGTTGATGTTTTCCTATCAGGACCCGGCACCGACCCCACGGTGTGCTGCCCGCAGCCGCTGGGTGGAGCGCGCGCCACACGGCGGCCCGCCCGCCGCTCGCTTCCCGCCCAGCAGCGCCGTGTGGCGACGGGACGCGGAGCCGAGCCCACAGGGGCACCCAGACCCCAAAGGGCAGCCGCTCGCCCTCGGTCAGCAAAGCATTTCAGCACGGACTTCATCTCCAGTGAGGTCTGTGTGGGTCTTCGCCCCCGGCTCGGTGCTTTGCCGTGTGGTGAAGGGATGGGCGTGAGGTACGCGGCGTCCCTGCCCCACAGCTTGAGCGCCCTTCATCCCCAAGTGACCTCTTTGGGGTCTCTTCTGTCAGCTTTTCTATATTCCTTTCTTCACCAGACCTAAACACTGGCTAAAGCCTCGGCTGCCTGTAGGGTAACACCTGCCTCAATGTGGAGGGAAAATCCCAGCTGCTGGAGAGCTTTCCCTGTGTTGTGGAGGAAAAGCACCGCTTGTGTGGGGAGAGAAATGCGGTGAAACCTTGGGAAGAAAAACAACAGAAGGTGTTGGATAGTTTGGGGCTGTTGTTAAAGCCTAGAAGTATGAGGGGGCAGGGTGGACTTTGAAGAATGAGGTTATTAAATTAGTGCCTTGCTACTTTGCTGTTCTGGTGGCCAGCTTTTTCCTTTTTTTTCTTTTTAAAAAAATAAATTGCTTCAGTGGAATAAGTGAAGAGGGAAATAGGTAAAATTCCTTCAGATTTAATTTTTCTCTTTGTTTGTATAGCAAGATGTGGTTTTTGTGCGCAAGTGGGAGCTATTTGAAGTAATTGAAAAAAATTCCTACGGGGAGACACCAGTCTCCCCACAGAGGAGAGAAAACCAAACCTCCCGTGCTTGCCACCGAGCCCCCGGCCCTGCCAAGCCTAATGCAACGCACCTGCAGCTTTACAGGCACAGGGGATGTTTCTGTGTGCGTGCGTGGAAATTTTGAGGGCAATCAGGCAAGAGCTTGGAGAGATAGGAAGGCTCCAGAAAATGAGGTGACCTCACTGCATCTGCGTTTCCTTTAAAAAATTTTTTTTTTTTCACTCGTCATAACCAAAACAGTGTGGCCTGGAAACGACAGATTGCTTCTAATCTATTGACTTTGGCCGGGGCCGGTGCCTGTGAGGTGGAAGGTGGGGGTTTATTTACTGAACGACCTCGGGCTAGATGGGACTTGGCCGACATCTTCGTGGGAGGAGGTCAGCGTCTCCTGGCGGCCCCACGCGCGCTGTCTGGGGCTTGGGATCCGCTGCAGGTAGCTGGCAATGGACATGCTGGGTGCTGGCCGTGCAGCCCAGAGAAAGGGGTCTGGCAAAATTAACTTTGATGAGGAATGAGGTGAAGCTGTGTGCTGTTGCTCGCCGCCTCCCCATAATGGGCTACAGCTCTTGGGGACTGTCCTGGTAAGGCAAGCCTGACCTGGAGCACGAAGCATCCCTGGGGATGTCTTCAGAGCCACAGCTTGTTGTCTCTCATCCTGCTTGGCTTCTCTGCAAAGTCCCTTGGGTGCTTGGACAGGGAAGCTGGAGGTCTCTTTCTGCCCTGCAGTTTGTTTCTGAATGCCTGGATGCACTGCTCTCTAGTTGTGTGAAGACCTCACTAGGAAGCTATCAGCATCTTTAAAAGCCTAAAAGCTACTGGAAACCTTAGTCTTTGTTTTTAAAAGAAGTGTATAGATCCTAAACATTGGACAGGTCTGTCAGAGCTTATGAATAGCAAAAGTAGACCGATAGCAGTGACAACAGAGTAAGGACAATATCAGAGCAAGGAGGAGAAAAATACGTGCTAAAGATGCAGCCAAAGTGTAAGACTTCCCGCACCCTTCACCCATATCTCAACAATTTTGGGATGGCCTCCAAACGCATTGGTGTAGTGTGATCCAAAGTGCTTTCAAAGGTATCTGTCAGCAGAGCGATAAGCTAACTTTGGAACAGGATTTTCCTGGGCTTCTGGCAGAAAGCAGTGAGAACGTGTCTACGTGTTTATGGCAGGTAAATCCTTAACTGTTTGAATGGCTGAAGAAGAGGGAGGACAAGCTGCCGTGTCTTCAAGCACAGCCCAGCACAGGTCTCTCCTGCTCCAGCAGAAGTGGTGTGGCATGTCATTTTGCTGCCATCGTTCAGATTAAGACACAGTAAATATTTTGCTTTACCTAGGGTGGGGCAAGCAACTTGAGGGCAAAGGAAAATTATTCCAAACCACAATGTTCAACTGCTTGTGTGTGAACACGTGTAGCGCTCTCTGTGGGTGAGAGAGAGTCCCTGGAAAAAAAAATACGCAGTTTTACGGGCAAAGCTCAAGTGAGAACATTTCTCAATAATCTCCTTGGTAGAGCTTTTCTCCTGAGAAAACTAGAAAGGATCTCCCTCTGGCTGTTTGTGTTTGTCAGCAGAAACTGAAGACAAAACAAAATGTACCAGCAGTCATAATTCTTAAATTAGTGTGAAGAAATAATGGCTGTTTTAGCCTAATTGGGTGAAGAATGTATGGAAAGAGTGAAGCCCGTCTGCGTGGGACTTGAAATCATAGGTGGTCTTGCGAAGGGTGGAAGCCAGACCTTGATTAATCGGTTGTTACAGGGAAGCGACTGCTCTGCAACCAATTTTCGGGTTAAATAGAACTTACCAGTGTCTCAGAACCTGGAAGCTGCTTGCCCCAGGGCTAGCTCTGTTGGCTTAATTTTCCACAGCCTGTGAAGTACTGTGTTTCCCAAAGGTGCACAAGGCGCAATGAGCATACCTCAGGGACCCAAACTCTTCAGCCCTGGGGTCCTTTCCATGGGGGCTCCCTAAAGCTGTGGGACTCGCTCCCTGCTGCACGGAGGGCATGGAAGGCCAGCACTTGGGTTTCCACATGGAAAGGAGCACCAGAAAACTTGCAAAGTGAGCCTCCCAGTGACTCTGGAGAGTTTGTGCCCAGAAGAGTGCTACTAAAAACGTTTGGTGCCAAAAAGCTATGTTCTCTGAGATGATTTTGGCTTGAGATCAAGAGTGCTTAGGAACATAGCTACTTTTGGAGTATCCTAGATATCCTTGATCGCATTACCAAATATTACAGTGATGTACCCAGGGATGGCTCTTATCTTGGGGTGTCCGATCCCACCTGGAACCCCACAAACCTCACTGAAGTCTCTCCCTGTCACACAGAGGCACGCAGGGAAGCAGAGTGCCAAGCCAGCAGCAAACAACGTAGCCCAGCCAGCGAGGAGAAGCACAGCTGCATGGCAGAGTGCTGGCAGGTCCAGATGCACAGCAGCCCTCTGCAGGGATTTCCCTGGCTCCCAGCTCACAGACAGAGGTATGTGGCATCCCAGGCTGAGGCAAAAAAGAGCTTGCAAGAGGTGATAGCCATTTTCTATTTTCCTTTTTAGTGTTACTTTGGTAACAAATAGCCTATACTGTTTATATGACATTGTTCCTTAAACCTCTGTGTTACACCTGCAAACACATGCACTCCCCATGCATCCCTATACTTTTCTTTTAATGTCCCGACCCGCTCTGAAGCATTAAATTAAATCAATGGGTATATCTTCTTTCCCATCTGTAAACCAATTCTAACCCAGCTAGCTTTCTTCTAAGAATTTTTTCACAAAATTCACAGAAAAAAAGAGCAGCCATAAAGCCTTTAATTCCTGTGGTTGCTCAGCACCAGTGAGTGGCTGGTGTGACTATGACTGGGGAATGCTTTTATGCTTTTTTATGTCAAAAGTCAAGTACGTGGGCTTCTCCTTCCTGGAAGCACCATGGTAATGTGCACGTGACTTGAGCAGTGATCTTCCTAGCACATTGTTGTCCGCAGTTTTCAGACTTGATTTCAAAACTTAATTGCAGCTAAAATTAATCTCTGCAACATTAGTCCTTAACTCCCTTAAGGACAGATTTGTGTATTGCCGAATACTTTCCGAATGGATTTGAGGAGGCATTGTACTGCACAGAAATTGAGTTTCAGTGGCAACTCGCATTTTCAGGGCTAGGAGAAACTGACAGCCTTCTGCTTGCCAAAGAATTTTGTTTGCTCAGTGCTTAGGGTGCCACTTAATACACACATTACCACTTCAAGGTAAGAAAACTCTTCTGCCTTTCTGTGCCAAGCAGGGTTTTATGTCATTTGAACAGATGTTTTCAAATTTGCAATCAAACTAATTAAACTCCTAATTTAGAGGTTTTCTTTTTGTATGTTCAGTTGCAACCCACATATAAACAGAAAGTGAGGGCAACAAAATGTAACTTGGCACAAATTTCCCCTCAAAGTTCCATAACACAAATTGAGACTAGCTCTACCAATTTAATCTTATTTTCGGTGGTAGAGAGCACAAGGGCTGGGGGAGACAGCAACCCTGTGCGCGGGCTGTGTCACAC